CCAGCTGTTCTCTTACGAAAAAGGGGTGAAACGAGGTCGCGGCCGGCGCGAAACCTATCGGTCTCGTCGTCGCTTCGCCAAGGGACACATGTGTCGATATTAAAATAGAAGGAATTTCGTTGCACAATACGTCGATACCTTCTTCCTTTCTTCTTTCAAACGTTAAAATTCATCCGGCGTTGCTCAATTGAAGTAAGAATAAATTGGACGAGAACAGTTCGCTCTGGTAAATTGACAAGTGGAGAAAAAGGAGAAGGGAGAGAAGGAAGGCTCGCCTGTTTTCTATTTCAATTCCGATGGCTTTTGCGTTGCAAAATTGTAAACATCCTGTACACGAGTGTGGATGGCAGATTGGATATTAAAGCCAGGCCACCGGGTCGAAATACAAAAATCGCTAAATTTACACACGAGACAATTCGATATATGCGCGAGTTGCTTCCTGAATGTCAGAGAATTCACGAGTTGGCGTGATTCCCTCTTAACCAGAGGGTATCGTCAAAAAATAGACGAATTAGCGTAGTCGTTTGATTTTCGAGCGAAGAACACCGGCTCTTTCGCGACGTGTCGCTTCGATGAATCGTTGAAGAACGCAGACGCGTCGTCACCGGAAACTGTTGGCCGCGTGTAACGGAACTCGAGTCGAGTTTCAGCAGAATCAGCTTCCGATTCCTTCGCGAGCGAAATTCCTCCTCGATGTTCACTTTGTCTCGAACTCTGTATACGGTTCATTTCGATAGAATTTTTTCTTGCGCCTTTTGGTTGAATTTAACGGGCAATTAATTTTCTGCTATTCGTAGGAAATGTTTATGTAGCTCTGAGTTTATCTGCTTTGTGTAAATTGGTACAATTGGCTGTTTAAACGGGGAATTAACTCTTCTTTTCTTAATTGAAAGAAATGAATAAACAGTGAGTTAGAGGAATTCTTTAGATACCACTTAAATGACGAAGTAACTTTTCTTTTCTTAATTAGAAAAATGGATAAATGGTGCATTAGAAAAATCTGTGATATACCATTTTCAACGAGGATTTATCTTTTCTTTTCTCGAATAGCGAATTAGAAAAACTCATTATATCCTATTTAAACGAGGAATGAACTTTTATTTTCTTAATTAGAAAAATTCATTGTATCCCATTTAAATAACGGACTGTCTTTTATTTTCTCGGTTTAAAAAGAGAAGAATAAATAGCGAATTAGAAAAATTCATTATATACCGTTTAAACGAGGAATGAACTTTTATTTTCTCAATTAGAAAAATGACTAAACAGTGAATTAGAAAAATCCACGATATACCATTTAAACAACGAATTATCTTATCTTTTCTCGGTTAAAAAAGAAAAGAAAGAATGAACAGCGGATTAAAAGAATCTATTTAAACAAGGAACGAACTTTTATTTTCTTTTGCTTAGGAAAATGAGTAAATACTGAATCAGCAAAATCCATATGATATCCCACTTAAATAACGAAAGAACTTTTATTTTCTTAATTAGAAAAATCACTAAACAGCGAATCAGAAAAATCCATTTCATTGGAATGAAAAATCGTTTAAACGAAGAGACGTGACTTTTCTCGATCGAAGAAATTAGTAAATACAGAAGGTAGGAAGAAGAAAAATATCCATTATATAATCTTGGATTTTCGCATATTTTGCAGAGATCGAACCGAGCTTTCCTTATCGAGATGTGACGGTACGTCGAGGCGTGGAATTCAAGGATAATTACGACATCCAGTCGGAGATCGGACGGTGAGTGATCACATCAATTTCCTTCGATCACACACACACGCACGCACACCACTTACGCATACTTGTGTATTTTTATTGTTGACAAACAAACGTATCGTGCCAAGGACATTTGATCGATCATCGCGAGTCTATTTCGTGTGACAATAGGAATTTGTTCGAATGATCGACAAAAGGTTTTCAACGATCGTTGGCTCGTTATCCGTGATGAATTTCGCATGATTCGTATCTACAGAGGAAATTTCGCGGCGTAACTTTCCGTCGGTTGACACCGCTAGGCGATACGAGAATTATCGCTGGACGACGTTTATGCATGTACGAGCTGGACCGTAGGAAATATCGCGGCTCGCCGCAAACACTAGCCATGCAGTTTCTGAATTTGACAGAATACGCGTGTTCCCATTGCGCAATCATTATACAAGCTGTTCAAAGTTATTCGAACGCGTTGCTTTGAGGAATTGCGAGGAGCTTCTACCTTGAAGGGATGAAAGACGTTCTTGCTGGACAAATTGAATTACTGTGTGATTTGTCGTTTCTGGAGTGATGTATCGTGGAAAGGAAGAGATCTGTTAAAAGTAATTCTCTTTTTAAGTTGAATTAATGTTATCTTGTTGAGAATTAAAAATTGAAATTGTTAGAAATTGACGTTGATCTGAATTTCTAATTTCCATTTCCGTGGCGTTTGATTTGAAAAATTTGAATTTCTAAGTTCCTGTTACAAATTAAGAATTGGAATACTTAGAAATCGACGCTGATCTGAATTTCTAATTTCCGTGGCGTTTGATTTGAAAAATTTGAATTTCTAATTTTTCTAATACAAATTAACAATTAGAATGATTAGAAATCGACACTGATCTGAATTTCTGATTTACATTTCCGTGGCTTTTGATTTGAAAAATTTGAATTTTTAATTTCTTATTAAAAATTTTAGATTATAGTTATTAGAAATTGACACTGATCTGAATTTCTAATTTCCATTTCCGTGGCTCTTGATTTCTAATTTCCATTCCCGTGGCTTTCGATTTGAAAAATTCCAATTTCTAATTTTCTATTAAAAATTAGAATTATTAGAAATTTTCTCTTTCAAATTCACACTGATCTGAATTTCCAATTTCCATTTGCACAGTTTCCGCTTTGAAAAATTACAATTACTAATTTCCTATTAAAAAATTACACCAATCTAAATTTCTAATTTCCATTTCTACAGCTTGTAATTCGCGAATTCCCATTTCCACGGGCATTACGATTCGACGAAGTCCAAATTTCTAATTTCCTACCAAAAATCACAAATTAGAATCGTCAGAAATTTTCTCCTCAGATTCACACCGATCCGAATTTCCAATTTCCATTAAGTAGTATATACTTGGAAGTAGTAAAAATGTCCGAGGAATATTTGAACAAGTTAACGAGCTGATTGGTTTCGAAAGGAGTAGCACAGAGAGGATACGGGTGATAAATCTTCGTACGACAAGAATCGGGGGAGGCCGCGAGAAGGAGGAAGGAAAAAGTTAGAAACCTTGACGTGTTTATTCCTTCCGGCGAACGTAGTATTCTTGTCTTGTATACATCGTAATCTTTCAGTTACTATGCGTGTCTGCCGTTATGAATGAGACACGAACTTGAATGATCTTTACATGCAAGGCTACCGCTTCCACGAGCCAGTAAACCCACGAAATAACTTGTTGGAATATGTTTCCGTCATCCGAGTTACGCGTTATTTCCAACATTGTGTCGAACGCTTCTACGCGAGAATACCGCGTCAAATATTAACAAAAACATCTGTCCTTTGTTACGTGAAAACTATTATTTTCAAGATGGAGTAATGGGTAGCGAGATTACATTTCGCGTTTCGAAGGGTAGATTTTTATTTTTACTCGGGATCGAATACCGAGACACAATGACGATCTTACATCGGTAGCCAGTGAACAAAGACATTGACGAATGGATCGGTGCCAAAGGTAAGATTTGAATGTCAATGACAAACTATTAGTGAACCATTAATTCTGAATGATCGCTGCTCTGATCGACGAATATCGAAAAGTACTCCGCGTGTAGTTTTACGTTTCAAATTATTTCGATCCTTTTTAACGATCTACGATTCTTTCGATGAAGAAAATATTCGATTTTTGTGTAATTGAACGTTATTTATTTCATCTACAGTGGTTAAATAATGAAATATATCGAAAAATACTCCTCGTGTAGTTTTACATTTGAAATTATTTCGATCCTTTTTAACGATCTACAATTTTTTTTTTAAGAAGAAAATATTCTATTTTTGCGTGAAATTTCACATTATTTACTTGAACTACGATGATTAAACGATTCTAATGAAACAGCTAGAAATCTGAATCACCACTTTACAAGCAAACATTTTCATTCATAATCATGCATATATTCGAATCCGAAGGCTCCAAGAAAAGCTTCACGATTTCAACAGGCGTTGACCATTTTGCAACAAATTCACTTCATTCACGGATCGTATGATGGATTCAACAGTTCTATCTCGAAATTTCAAGTAAAATCTCCCACCGTCTCGCGGGAATCATTGACCATTTCCTTCGACCAACAACAGGTTTCAACGGCGATAAATCATGTTTTCCAATTAACCGAAATCGCTTTCATCGTTGGCGAATCGCTCCGCTATCGAATTGGCCGCTTTCCATCCAACCGGGCTACGATATAACGTGAATCATTGCGCGGCTTCGTGAAAAATACCATCTGGATGGGGGCTCATCGAGAGCGCGATCGCGAAGTGGCCCGCGTGGTTTGATAAACGAACGCGCACCCAGAGTGTCGGCGTTGCACGAACTTCGAGGTGTAATCAAGGTCCTCGCGTGTCTATAAATAATGCGTTTTTCGCGGTGACTGACGTTCACGCGTCTCGCATCGAGTCGCCGGACGCCCAGCGTCGAGACGCTCTTGACACGCGGATTCGATCGAGCATCGACACGCATTCCTCTCTCTCTCTCTCCCTCTCTCTCTCTGAATCGCTCGAGTGCCTGCTTCCTATGATTGTAGATCATTTTTCCAACGAAATTTAGACGCTTGTGATAATCACGTCTTGAAGTGATTTATGAAATTGCTGTTTTAACATTTTTTAGTTTATTTCTCGTTTTAGCCTGAGTGATTTATGTTTTCTTGACATAGTTCTCGTAGTTTGTCAGCTTTTTTAAAAGGCGGAATTTTGTGGCGTGACAATGGTAGAGCGCGTGTCGCGAAAGACACTGATGAAAAGCTGAGAATCTTGTCATGATCCCTGATATGGCTATCCTTCTAATTATTAGTTGTTTATAAGTGTGAAATTTAGGTGGATTTGTGATCGAGGTTTCGAAAGTGTATTTAAAATAATGATAATAATAATTTGTTAAGAAAAGTAAAGAAATAAAACGGAAACTAAATGTCTATGTTAAGTATAAACGATGCTGTTTTCACGTTGAATTTTCCTCATACAATCTCTTTCCAAACTTTCGACTCAAGGTCTTCTCTCTTCCAAATCTTACCCCACACTGATTTTTATTCCACACTCTTGATTTTTTTAACATGCACCTTCTGCATTCTCTCCTGAATATCTGCACTCCCATCAAAAATTTCAGCGCTAATCATCGGTGCTTTGAAACTTCAATTTTTCAACAGTTCTTCACGTCAGTGCTCGGAAATTTTAATTTCGTTGACCAAAATTTCGACGCTAAACGACAGTGCTTTGAAAATATAATTTCTTAACTAAAATTTCAACGCTATTTATTCCCTTAAAACGTCAGTGCTCTGAAATTCGAATTCCTCGATCAAAATCTCAACGCTCTTCGTTCTCTAAAAGCGTCATTGCTCTGAAATTCTAATTTCTCCTTCAAAATTTCAACGCTATTTTTCTCTCTCAATAAGAATTCACGAACATCCAAAATTTCGATCGATCAAAATTTAACCTCTTCGTGGCGCTACGCGCGATTTTTCTTTCTTTTTTGGCAGATGTTTCGCTTTGATAATTCGCTATGCCGACCCTGTTGCCTATGGTATGCTCTACTAACTCACTGACTCACTAAATTGGCTTGGTGACAACCACGTTACACCATTGCTCTCTAGCAAGATCTCAGAGAGAGAGACAGGCACTTTGGCACTTCCTTCGACTTTTGTCTCTGCCCGACATTTTTTTATCGTCCACGAGGATTCCACTTTGATCAGAAGCCTGAAAGAGGCTCGCGACGGCGCTTCGTTCTTGCGAATCGCACAAAAATTTATTTCCTCGTGCCTGCATGCTTGAACAAAAAAAAAAAAAAAATGAAGAAAAACATAGTCGGGATCTTTTCCTCTATATTTATCGCGAAATCCTCTTGGCGAGATATGTACGTACGGCAAAATTTTCAAAGTGAAAAAGATTTCACGCTGTTGGACGATGTTTCGCTCCCTGTGCATAAGCACGTACCTTGGCACAACAAGACGCGATAAATTCGGGAACTGTGGCAGCTGCACACACGTGAAATTTATTCACATTAGATAGAACACGAAATTGGACGAAATACTGTGTACATTTTTATCTCGAGAAAATTCCCTACGTATTTCATGGTTTCGGTTTACCAATCGATTTCATAAAGTTCTCCAAACTTGCAGATTCTCGAGATCGAGACGCTCCTTACTTCTCTGTCAACAATGTAGATTCTAAAAAAAAGAAAAAAAAAATAGAAAAAAAATACAATGTATCGTTCGTACGTAAAGAAAAAATATATAAGGTTAAAGAAAGTCAAGGTTCGAGAATACGAATCTTGTTTTCGAAACGTTCGAAGGAATATTAAAATGGTGTCTTTGTTCCGTTTCACCAAGCATCCTATTGCTTCCAAGCTACCAAGATTTATAACGTTGACATTTACTAGCGTGAAACAATAAAAACAGCAAGATTGTTTTATTTCAACGTTTCAAGGTCGCTAATCAGGATTTTACCAGCGGTGAAATGTCGTTCGATCGTAAAAAGTTGAAATATATTATAGAATTGATATACATATAGGTTATGTATATATTTGGTAGGAAAAACGTTTGTTCTTTATTCGACGTATCAGCAATGGCTAATGCGTTCTTGTCTGTTGAACAATTTACTTTAAACGTGTTTATGCTTGGCGTAAAAGCAATCGGTGTACAAGTTTACATTCGGGTGAAATTTTTGGTCGGAAATAGCATACGATGCCTTGGTTGGATCAAACCAGAATTGTTACAATTTGCGGGACTAAATGGTTCAACAATAAAATTGATTAGTTGGGTCAAAATGGCTGATTGGCAAGCTCGCAAGAGTTCATTTCTTTCATTATTTTGTTGACCTGTCCAGTGAACACTTCAATTGCATATCTGTTAAAATTAGTATTCACAAATCGTTATTTAATTCCCCGAATGTTATTACTGTAAGTGAGCTGTTTTATTACTAAGGTCATACATCCCGGAATACAACTCTAGCAATATTTGATAGTTATAACCTTCGTTAAAAATCTGGCATAGGATTAAATGAAACATGGGCCAAATGACCAATGAATGAATATAAATTCAATGGAAAATAGCGTACCACCACACACCGACAGTCACTTTTTATAGCCGATAAAAGTCATCAAACAGCCACTATCTACTCTGTTTCTACTCATAGAATAATTTGGAAAAAATATCATTAGATTGCTTGAATTTTAACCTGTAAAATAAGCTTGTCAAAATGATTGAGAAATTTCGGAAACATGGGAAAAAAAAGTTAAAGTTTACCATGATACACGTCGTATGGCGTCGCGCAGGCATCTGTTCGCATGTTTATGGCGTCTGCGCGACGTAAATTTTATTTTTTTTTCGAACGCTCGAAATTATCATTTCGGTAAATTATCGACTGCTCATCTGTTTACCGACTGCTCGAGCGAGACTCGATCGTCACCTATTGTTCATAGAAAAGTAAGTGCGATAGCCTTATTCTACCGTGATTGGCTGACTATAAGGGAAGATCTGAGTAATTACGAGAGCCTTATTCAATCGCTACTGGTTTACTAACAGCGAGTTGTCGCAAGTTTTCTTACATCTCCTATTTACTCGACTATTTAGTGTCGTATAGGTTATAGGTTAAAAAGAATTATGGAGGCGCTGTTGGGTAATAGTAAATTTCTCCTAGAACGCTCCCAATAATGATAAAGCCTGGTTTTCACAGCTAAATAGGTCGCTAATTTTTTTAATTTCCCATCGGACGGCAGTTTATTGAAAACGAACTTTCTGGCGGGACGGCTGAGTGGAAGTAGGGGTCGTCACAGAAGAACGCTTTTGCAAGACATCTGTGGATTTCCACTGGAACTATTGTGCAAATTTCAACGTGAAAAGAGCGTGATAGGTGTTAATTTTTCGTATAGGAGTAAAGTTCATTCACTGGACAGGTCACCCTATGTATTATCGTTTGCAAGATTCTGCTTATTCTGCTGAATGTTTCATTAAATTCGAAGCAATAGAAGCTTCACTTTTGACGATTGTTTTCAAGTTATCAAAAAATACGTTTAACTCTTTGAGAACGATAAACTTATATGTATATGCGTTCATAAAACAATTTGAATGCAACCAGCAAGGCTTACATAGGTATGTTCAAGCAATAAAAGCAGTTGGCCTGACCATAAGCTCATGTATGCATAAAGATTTTAAAAAATCTCTGAGATACTACTAACATGTTCGAATTTAATTCTTTGTAAATCTTTTTAATTCATTGCAAAAAAAATATACAAAGAACATCTAACGAATGCTGCAAATCGATGAAACTGTTAAAACATTTCGAATAAGCCTTCGCGAATCTTGCGTGCACAGATGCGTGAAACGAGATCGTTCCTATTTGCAGAGGAAAATTTGGCACGGTTTATCGATGTAAGGAGAAAGCAAGCGGTTTGATGTTAGCGGCAAAGGTGGTGACCACCGCGAAAAAGGAGGACAGACGAGCTGTGGAACGAGAGGTTGAAATTATGAGAAGATTACAGCATCCACGACTTATTCAACTTTACGATGCCATTGACGCTGGCAAACTGATTTATGTTATATTGGAATTGTAAGTATCTAATACCATAAAAACACGTAGAATCGATCCAAAAAGGGAACTACGTCGACTATGGTTATTTTCGTGTCTGTTTAAGGATCGAAGGTGGCGAACTATTCGAGAGGGTGATAGACGACGACTTCGTGTTGACCGAACGCAGTTGTACCGTTTTCATGAGACAGATCTGCGAGGGTATAGAATTCATCCATCGACAGAACATTTTGCATCTCGATCTAAAGGTGATTTTTATTTTTTAGCAGCGATATGTTTGAATTTATATATCGATAGAGCGGATTTGTTATTCGACGACTAGATCGGAAATTAGAATAGAGGAATATAACTGGAACTCTTACAAGATGTTCGAGAATTAGATCGCGTTCTCTGTACTTACTTGTCTGTGAGCGATAGAAATAGTATCATAGTGTTACGAGCTTGAGAATATTATTATTCGGATGGAAAAGTGTTTGGAAATTTGTATCTATATATTTTGTAATATTATTTGTTAGCGTAATATGATAAGTAAAATATTTATTTAGAGTTGAATAGTTTTTATGTAAGATTGGAATTTTTTTTTTTGGAAGGATATTGGAGGATATTGGTATGTGTGGAATTGGTGAAATTGAATAGTATATTTTCTGTTTATAGCCTGAAAACATATTGTGTCTGACAAAGGAGGGTAATCGGATCAAAATCATAGATTTCGGTCTTGCGAGGGAGTACGATCCAAAGAAGAAGCTGCAAGTTCTATTTGGTACGCCGGAGTTCGTTGCACCGGAAGTCGTAAATTTCGATCAGATTGGTTATGGTACCGACATGTGGAGTATAGGCGTCATCTGTTACGTATTGTAAGTTGCCCTTCAATTCTGATCAACCTACCCTTGTTTTACGTTTTATATGAAACAGGAAAAACAACTTAAGGTATTTTCTATCTTTTGAATTTCAAATTTCAAAATTTTCAGATATTCAGAGTTTCGAATTTTCGAATATTTAAATTTTCTAATTTTTAAATATTTCAAATTTTCTAAATTTTTAAATATTCTAATATTCGAATTTTCAAAGTTAAAAATTTTCAAATATTGAAATTTTAATTTTCGAAGTTTCAAATTCTCAAATATTCAAATTTTCAAATATGGTAACTCAAATTTTCAATGTCCCAAATGCTCAAATTTTCAAATATTGAAATTCTCTAATTTCCAAAGTTTCAGATTCTCAAACTTTCAAATATTCAAAACTTCAAATTTCCAAATTTCAAATTATCAAGTTTTCAAATGTTTATCTATCCTCGAAAGTCAAAAAGATGATAATTTCCACCAAACGTTTCACGATTCTCCCATCAATTTCCAGATTATCCGGTTTGTCACCGTTCATGGGGGACACAGACATCGAGACAATGGCGAACGTGACGATCGCGAAGTACGATTTCGATCACGACGCGTTCGTCGATATCTCCGACGACGCGAAGGACTTTATCCGGTGTCTGCTGGTTAAAGATAAAGAGTACGTATTGCTTGTTATTTTTGTGAAAGATTACGCGATACAAAGGTGACGTGGATGACTCGAGCAGAAATATCCTCACCATGTCACTAATTACGTCCTGGCGATCGACACAAGTCGAACATGAAAACACCGAAGACACGTTTGCAATATTAATGAACGTAACAGCCCAGATAAAACGAAATCCAGGGAACGAACAACGTTCTGTCTTTAACCATATGTTCTTTGCCAAGAAAATTCCACGAAAATCATCGACGGACGCTCGACTAAATTTTCGTTTCGAATCGATTAGCTTATTTCATCTTCTCAGATTAAATGACCCGATGCTAGAAATTGTACAACCCTCTTGTTGAATAAGAGCGTGGCCAACGCGGCACAAACATTTCCAACCACGATATACATAATTCGTGTCATGTCGAGCAACGTGGGATTAAATGCGTGCAGAATCTCGGTATACGTTCTACCATTTGATAGAAACAGAAGCAGTAAAGACGGAAATTAACCGTGTAGTAATTTATATCACTATTTCACGTCATATTCGTGTCCCAAAATTCGTCCAATTAAACCAGATGAAGTTAATACGAAATACAAGTGAAATTAAACTCAAAATGTAAATTCGTACAATTAATTTCCAAAAAAAGAAATTTCTAATTATCTGGGCAATTACCATCACATTTTTCTACGTAACTCTTTCACGGTTACTCTTCGACTTTCTCTCTCTCCCTTTGTGTCTGATTAATCCTGAGCATGTTTTCTTCACTTTCGATACTCGTTGCTTTTCAAAGCGACATAATATTAAAAAAAGAAGACGAAAAGAAACATAATTCAAGTAACATAAAAATTCAAGCACAAGCGTTGAGAAACTTTGCACCCTTACTCTATAAGCCTCTAACAATAAGCATCTAAAAGTGCACATTCCAATGGAACGAATTAAAGAATCAGCAAATTACTCTGTCGTCGTATGTCGACCTACTGTCACTCAAAAGCAAACAAAAAAAAAGAAAACATTCGAAAGTGACCAAGGAAGCAACAACATCATTTCGTTTCAAAAAATAAAAAATCCCATTCGAGGAACCCATTCTGCACGTTTCCATCTCACCATCCGCATCACATACCATTCAAATTTCGCTCCCATCGCTGAAAGGAGAGAACAGACAGAAAACGAGAGAGAGAGAGAGAGAGAGAGAGAGAGAAAGAGAGACAAAAAACAAATTTCTGGCTGGGTCATCCTCACGAAGGAGCTGTCGAATCTTTCAGCAACCGGATGACCGCTGCAGAGTGCAGGGAGCATCGTTGGCTCAAAAGACCGAGCAAACCACCAATTCAGATCGAGCAAACAACTATGGAGATCCCCATAAGAAACTACGAGATTCGACGTGTACAGCCTAACCATCTAGACGAACTAGACATGGCCAAGGACAATCTGAGGCTATTCGTGGAACGTTGGAGGGAACATCCCGACAGTCCTTATTTAATAGATCTTCCGCAACTGGTTCTACCTCGACACAACTCCGTCGCCGAAACGTTCCGCGATCACGACGAATCGGTGTCGTTGAGATGCTACAGTCCATCGCCGTGTGCAAGTATCTGCAGTACACCGTCGGAAACAGCGAACAGTTCACCCCGAGAGAGTCACAGCTCGTTCCTAACGGTTCCTAGTTTCAGTTACGGCCTCGAGAGGAGAGCTTCCGAAGGTGTTGGCTCGGAGAAGCCGCGAAGCGATCCAGCCAGTCAGATAGTTTTGGCCGAGGAGATAATCAAATTGTCCGAGCATCTGAGATCCATCACTATGGGAACGTGCGCGAAGAGCAACGAAGAGGAAACATCGTCCGAGTCCAGCGAGCAGAGCAAGAAGACCAGAGAAACGACGGAGGAGAGAAGCAAGAGGAACGGAGTTCGAGGAGGGAAGAGCAACGGGCTGGTGGCTGAGAATACCGAGGGTAATGAGATCACGGAGAAACTGTCGAGTATAATGAGACACAGGAAACTGAATGGAACGACGTTTCATAGTAGTCGGAGCTTTGAGAAGTACCCAGAGGCGAACAGCGGAAATATGTTCGCTTCACTGAAGAAGACGGCGAAGACGAAGAAAGAGGAGGAGAAAACGTCGAAGGTGGAGACTAACAGTTCTTCGGAGGAGAAGAGTTTCACGGTGGAAGAAGGTTCGACGAGCGACAAAGGAGAGAGGATGTTGAGTAGGAACGAGGGTGAGATGGATTTGACGCCGCCTTGGAGGCGTCCAAGGGTAAAACAGTTTGGAGAGACTAGTAGGGATGTTCCTCGAATTTCTGGTCTTCGTAATTTGCACAAAAGCTTGAACCTCGACGAACCGACTAGCGCGAAGGATTTGTTGCTTCATTTGCTCGGTGAATGGGAGGAAGTGGCTACAAGGCCGAGTGGATTCGGCCGGAAGTCTGTGAGCGTCGACTGGTGCGGCGAGGATTCTGTCGCGAGGAAGACTATGAATTCTTTGGCCGAATATTTCCAATCGAGACAGCAGAAATCGTCGAATTCGAACAACGTTAATTCCACCGATTCGAGCTCGATACATCGTTGAGATGTATCTTCTTTTTGTTGTTTTTGGTTCAAAACGAAGGACTATGCGGATTTGTCTCTCGATTTTCTGAGACAGCGAACGCAATCTCGTTTCGCCATTGTAAAATTCTCAGGGCAATGGGATAAAACGGAGACAATGATGGATTTTTTCATATACATCATTTCTCTTTTCTTTTTTTCTTTACCTCCGGTCTGAATGTGTGGTGGTATTAAGAAGTTTCAGAGTGAGGATGTGACGTTCACGTTCGCGTTTATTTGAATTCATTTGTGTCGAATTCGGGTAAATCCGTGGGCTTTCTGGTGATTGTTTTCGATGTGAGATATTCCGGGACGAATTGGTTATTCAAATTTTTCGATAATTAATATGTGTATTTCATTGTTTATTCTCTGGAGCTCCTTTGAAGTTTGACGAGTTTTTCTTCGTCGTCGAAATTTTACGACGAAAATATGATTTTTTTAATGATAAATAAAACGAGGCATACAGAGTGTAAGATATTTTTATAGGCAACAAAGGGAGAAGTGTATCGAATGGTAATTGATGTTAGATAGTTCAACTGCGATGCATCGAAACTTGTTTCTATTTATTATGTATGATACACGTGCATACGTGCACGTACATATATATATTATTTATAGTATATACATATATATATATAGATTAGGTTATGTAACAATCACTCACGTGTGCAGAAAATTGTGACGAAATCGATCATCCTGTACACGTGTCTGTGCATATATTCTTGTTTCAATGTTTTATTTATACTCTATGTTTAATATAAAATAACCATGAAATCAAACTGTGTGGATACAATTCATTTGATATGCACCTGCAGTAGTTTAGTCGTAGTAGATTGCACAGTTCAATGTCTAACATGTTCTGTTTCATAAATATTCACTATTTGTGAATGAAATGCGCATAGCTAATAAACGTAGTTTCTCGTGCATGCACAAGATAATACTGTATTACGAGGAAAAAGATAATTTGAAGTGTCAGCATTAAAATCGAATTATTTTGCAACGTGGTTCAATAACAATTTCATCTTGATACGTTTAAAACAACGAAAGTCGGAAAAATATTTAAATTTTAATTAATAAATCCGTACTGGATGAGTACTTTAAAAGATAAACAATTATTCCTTTATTAATTTTGCAATTATTTTGAAGAAGTTCAAGGCACGCTTACATTGAAAATATTTCCATCGTCACGAACGTTCATCTTGATACTTGTAAAACCATGGAAGTCAAACAAATCTTTAAATCTCAAATTAGTATTGGATGACTTTTTGAAAAATAAATAATTATTTCTTTATTAATTTTGTAATTATTTTCAAAAAATTTCAAGACACGTTTGCGTTGAAAATATTTCCATTGTTACGAGTGCTTTCGTAATCGGAACGACAGATTCATCCGCTTCGTGCGACCGTAGCAAAATAAATGTTTCGCGTTAATGGACCACTTTGCGTTAAAAATCGATCTGCTTAAAAGTAACCAGAAATTTGATCCATTATTCTGCTCCAGGAAAAGACCATCCGCGGGTCAACTCTTAGAGCATCGTTGGCTGGAGGCAGCATTGGAGAACCCGATCTGTAAAATTAGGTTAAAGCGGTATGTCATCAAGAAGAGATGGATTAAAGCGGTTAATACTATACTGGCGTTGAAACGAATGGGTGCCCACTTAGAGATGGATTTCGTTGGATAGTTTATTTTTAGATAGCGAATTAATGCTTAGGCTAGACACGTTTGATCAAGTGTAAAAGTAAACGTTGCGATGATTTCTCTTTTCTTTTCTTTTTTTTTGGCCGAAGTATTTGTATTAAAGTAACCATGTAAAGTATTATTTTTCTCTTCTATTAAGTACGTAACGATTAAAAACATTCGCATGTTTAATGGATTGACGTGGAAGCTTGTGGCCATTTTCTAGAAGATCTAAATTTAGAGGTTAATTAACGGTTTCTTTTCATCTGTGAGTCTTGAAATGTTGACAGTATTATAGAAATGGTACAGATACAGTGAATGATAGAAATAATTCCACCTAACATGGACAAAGTATACCAAAGAATATTGTAAGGCTAGTTGTAACTGAATTGGTTATTCAAAAAGATACTAATATATACTTCGATTTACAATTTTTTGAATAATTTTCATTATTGTTTAACAGACTTAACTATTGATATCTCTTTTCTGTATACGAATGAAATAATGTATAAGGTATAGTATTCAAATAGTTTATTGTAGTTTAGTGGAATGCATAGTTAGAATTTTATTTCATCTCGAAATAGATAGAAGTTTAGATAAATCTAGTTTAAGGACGTAATTCATTAATCTAGATTTAAATGATTAATTGATAACAATTTTGTTTGTAACGTGAATTTTTATAGTTTCTAGTTTTCCATTTTATGCACATAAAACACTTTTGCACCATGGAATTTCGATTAATTGAATTTTTGCAACGTGAAACTTTTCCTTATTTAAAGATTATCGATAAAAATATTACAATCGTTAAAATTACATAATAAAGTATTATTGAACATTAAATTGCCCGTATAAAATGACTTTGCACGTAAATCTGACGTTAATTAATTGTAATGGATGTCAGCCAAATTGATTAATCGAGTTTCCAATGTAATCGACATGGGTAATTCTGTAAAACCATTGTCATTTTTATTTATACTCTCAATAACGATTACGAACGCAATAAACATTCTATTTTCTGTAACATTGTTGCGCCAAATTTGTCGAGACGCCGCGCCTCGTTTTTACACGCATGAACGATTACACGCGCGACACCGTAGATTTATTAGTCGCATTCCTCGTTTTGTGCACAGCTACGACGCATTCGTCTTTAGCCATTCGATGCGCCGTCGCGATTAATAAATACTAAAAAGGTCGACATTGACGCCACCGTGAATAAATACACGCGTTCGGGCACGAAATTCCTACGGACGCGTGTATTGTGGATTTACGAGGCTCCCGCGCGTTAGGAATTCGTATTATGTAAATACGCGCATGTAACGCACCAGTCGTGCCTTTAAATAAAGTCTTCTACAGTGTCGTGCACGACACCAAGCCGCACGATGTTGTATTATATTAATAGCTGTAGTTCCACCTGTTGTCTGACGTCTTCTGCTCTCAATTGCGGCTGTTGCTCTTCCCTAGTTGCATAGATAAGGGCATGGAATAAATTGACTAAGCTAGATATATATAGTGAAGATATGCCAATAGATTTTGTTGGAATAATTTTTGAATGTGAAAACATCATGTCACGATTTAAGGTTATGATATGTGAAGGAATTTAACGAATCTCTATAGCATTTACAGAAAGAAGAGAAATGACAAATAATTTACTGACATGATTTCGTGAAATTAAAGTAGAACTAGATTTCTACAATTACGTTTGGTAGTTTACGTAGTGTAGTAAATTTACCATTTATTATGTTTTATCTCTGAAAAATAAAATTGTGATCATAGGATCTTCTTGCTCTTTTCAAATGTATTTTCCAATAGTCCTGATAGATGGCAGCACTATGCAACGCGAAGTTGTTTTGTAATATTTTTAACTTCTGTCACGTAGTAAACGTTGGGCTAATGTTTATTAATTAACAATAATCATAAGTAGGAAATTTTATGTGAAGTGTTATAATAGTAATTTATTTGTATAGTGTAGCGAGTATTATTGTTGTCAGTGTTTATTTAAATTTGTTTTCACGAAGATGGTGAGTAATCGATATTTTTATAAAAATATAATGTCATGTAATTTTGCAAGTATTTAATAAAATATATTATTTTTATTGTACATTAGGATTTGACGTTCGTAGAATAACGGTAATTTAAAGGTTATGTTTTGTTTCAACTTACACTGCTGCTTATATTTTAGGCAGATGTGTTACAGAGTTGGAGTCCTTATGCTAAAGAATATGATCCTTTGAAAGCTGGTAGTATAGATGGTACAGATACAGAGCCACATGATAAGGCTATTAGCCGTGCTATGCAGGCACACTATGAACCTCCTCATGGAATAAAATCAAAGCCAGAAAGGACATTATTTGTTGCCAGATTTGGTCCGAAAATTACCAAACATGAGTTAAAGGAGGTATGATAGTAATGTTACTTTTATCATTTTACTATGATTCTACACATTTTAAATATTAATAAATTCAGTTCTTTTCTAGGTATGGAGATGTTGTATCAGCAAGAGTTATAGTTGACATTGTGACTGGTTTGTCCCAGGGTTATGGATTTGTAGAAATGAGAAGTGAAGATGAAGCTAGGAGAGCTGTTAGACGTTGTGTTGATGTTACATTAAGAGGTTACCAAATTTTTGTTGATTATGAGTGTGGCAGGACTTTAAAAGGATGGAAACCAAGGAGAGTTGGTACATAGATAAATTCTAAATTGTTTATATTTTAATGTGCTATTCATATGCAATTATATTTAAAATTTGTTATAATTTTATAGGTGGTGGTTTTGGTGGCAAGAAAGGGTCAGGACAACTTAGATTTGGTGGAAGAGATAGACCTTTCAAAAAGCCAATTATACCTAATATTATAAGGTCTCATCATCATCATCAAGAACATCATCAAGAACATCATCATCAGGAATATTACCATCAAGAATATCAATATGAAGAACATCATCACCATCATCGTCATCATTAACGATATTTCTTGTCTCACAATTTTAATTTTATAAGCTAGTGGACTGTTTCATATAGAAATCATATTCAAAGCGAAATATTACGAATTTTCTTACAATATTACCGTGTCGTACGTACACTTGTTGAAAGATTCGTCTGCGAATTTTGCAATTTTGAATTGAGTCCAATGTAAATATTTAAGAGATCTGTACTTATGTATCTTCTAAACAGATTACAAACAGCTTTAATGTGTATTATGAAATGAATCACTAATATTACATCTTCATCTTTTACTTGTTGTAACAGGGATGTAAAGAAAACCTTTTTAAACTTGTAAATATTGTAACTAATGTAAAATAACTTAAGTCTTGCAAATAAAACAAAATTTTAGTAACATTAAAATGTAGTTTAATTTTGTTGTTTACCTTTAAATACACTATTTTAAAAAATAATGCGAATTCAAGAATAATATATTTTAAGAATACATTGCTATTTTTTAAATAAAAACTGTGCTATATTCGAATTCTAAGATACAGTCTCCAAACTCTCCCTCTGATGTCATTCAGAAAACCTTAGTTTTTTTCTAGAATTACGTAAATTCTGGCCGATGCCAAAATTTGTTCGGTGATTTATGTTCTTCTGTTCGTTTTCGAAAATTACAAAACACGTTCTATACAAATCAGCGCTTGTTTAAAAATAATTTACGAGACTGTAAAAATACCTATAATCTTATCCAATCTAAAAAAAAGTACTTTTATTCCTATCCTATATATATTACCGAGAAAAATCAATGCAACCCTATACGTAGTATACATATACAGGTCGAATTCATGGCTACGCTAAAACTCGTTAACGCTGAATTGTTTCAAACCAGACAAGACCGCGGGAGCCCAGTTAACTATTCAACTCATTTCATCAGAGATAAATTAATGTCATAACGTACTTAATATTGTTAAATTGATTCCACTATATAGCGGAACTTCTTCCGTCAGCAAAATGCTTTTTTCATTACAAATGGAAACTTTCTCCGATGCAACTACAGTAACATGCATCGTCCAATTTTCATTTCCAACCATACATCGATAGAACCTATTCCAATGTAAAGTTTGAAATCTTCCATTAAAATCACGATAGAACGCAAATTCTTCGTGTCACGTGGGCGTAAGAGAGTTAACGTGTGTCACGCGGCCAGTTAATCAACGGATCATCGGTATAGTCAGCCAGCCAAGGGAGCCGAGCTTTCTGGCGCGGTGTGAAGCGGCGTCGTCAGCGTCGTGGAACTTTATACCCAGGCGTCGCGGCGCCCTCTCCCTAGCGTGGCCCCCTCCATATATGGAGCCGCCTCGTGGTTCGACGTTAGCCACGCGAACCGAAGTTTTAGCCTCCAGGCTGCCTCTGATAAGGTAGCCTCCTTCTTCCTCGACACGTCTCTCTCTCTACCTCCTCCACCTTCGCCAAGGTCTCAGAGGGCCAACCCACATTCGTTTATCGCGGCTCCTATTTCGTCGGCTCGGCCGCTGCTCCCGTTTTCACAACACAACGTCGCCTCTGTCCCTAGTGCTTTTTTTATTCACGGACACAGCTGCCGGAGAGTGGAGGCGCGTATACGCGGCCATTACTAGGTACTCGTCGCGCGCTGTTAGCATGCTGCGACAGGCTTTCCTTCTTTCGGTCTCTTTGCACATTCCATTTCCTTTGGGTTTCGTTGTTTCGTGTTCACAGTATATGTATTAGGTGAAAGATTTCTCTTTTATATTTCTTTCATGTATTTTTTGTGTAAATATGTGCCGATTAGAGAATGTGCTTGTGACGTATCGGAATATGGAAGTTTGATGTTTTAGTTTGAGGTTAGAAAGGTTCGAAGGAGATTCGTTCGAAGTATACATTTCTTTTTAAACGATTATCTCTTTGTTTTAATTACAATTTGACTGTATAAGTAGGATTTTACAAGGTAATTCAGATTTAAACGTGGCTTTAAGCCTGTAACTTTTTAAATACAATTCCCCTGGAATATATGTCAATGGGATGCTACTTTATTCGTGTAAAAGCAATGAAACTGCAGGCATTCTGGATATGACGAATTCTTCGGAGGCATTTTAAATTGCGTCTGAATAGCGTACACGAGCCAGACCAATTTTTTATGCATTCCTTCAGCATCCCTTTTTCCAACCTTTTTCACCTGCATTTTCACGTTTTTTTCCGTTACACATTCGAGTCTTCCTTCCATCTCTTTAATACATTCTTTATGACCCACGGAGTTTATTATTCTCTAAGCCGTAGAAAAAGAAGTGCTGTTTATTTTGCTAACATAAATCTTTTTACTTGTTTCGTAAAAAAGAAGAAATTAAAGGAAATACAAAAAATTACCCGGAAGTATTTCTGAAAAAATAAAACCTAAAGAAAGTATTTTTCAAAAAAGTAAAAATCCCAGGAAGTATTTTCGAAAAAGAAATTATCGGTATCGTGTTAAATGGTATAAAATCGACGACGTTAAGGTGTTAACGCACGATCGTTCAGAACATCGCTATGTCGGTTAATAAATTACGTGGCACGTTATCAGTTCGTAGTAAGTACTCGCCGTTCTAAGAACGATTATATTAAGTTCAAGCGTACGAAAAGCCTGTCAGGGATGCTTTCAAGCAAAGGAACCACTAGCCGCGAGTTTCATGTTGCCATTGCTGGAGGGTAAATATATTTAGTGGCGTGTCCACGTAGACGAGTAGGCAGTAAACTTTCGACCGATGGCCAGTTTAAACACGAAACGGCCACGGGACAGATATAATGTAGCTATATCAGCGTCAGAAATAACTTGCACGTCGGAAAAATTTTATCCCGACCGTCTGCTTTCATTTTATCGTATAGATAGCCGTTCGATATCACAAAAGAGCATTTGTGATGGAGAATCTATGTTCAGAAAGATTTTTCTGGTAAATCTTATAATAATGGTAGATATATATGTATATGAAAATAAATGAGATTTATTCTGTACATAATATCTTTTTTTAAATTTTTTGTTTAATTTCATAATGTGCGAGTTTAGGATAGGTAATAAAAATGTGAAGTAAGATATGGTAGTTGTTTAAAAATATCGTTGAAGGGATTAGACGAGTGCAACAATACGATAAACGAGAATGAAATTAGATTACCAGGTTAGATAAGCTGGACTAACACACTTGTACAGGTTGAACAATTTAAATTGCAAAAATATCACTCACCCTTAACACGATTCCGTCTGGCAATTTGTTACTTCTGCATTAATTTCTACTTTACAGTCGACTTAAAATAATCAGGTTGCGTGCGCTATCGCGATAGTACGTTTATTAATAAGCGAGCCATATTTCTTCGGAGATTTTTCTTCGGATGCAGTCGGTACCTGAGGTTTCACCTTCTACCTGAGAGAGCGAGAGACTGAGAGAATGTGGGGGAGAGACTGAGAATGTGAGGGAGAGAAGAGGAAGAGAGTATGGGGAGAGACTGAGAGAAAATGTGGGGGAGAGACTGAGAGAGTGTAGGGAGAGACTTAGAAAAAATGGGGGGGGAGAGACTGAGAGAGTGTAGGGACAGACTTAGAGAAAATGTGGGGGAGAGACTGAGAGAGAGTACGTGGGAGAGACTGAGAGAGTGTAGGGAGAGACTTAGAGAAAATGTGGGGGAGAGACTGAGAGAGAGTATGTGGGAGAGACTGAGAGAGTTTAGAGAGGGACTTAGAGAAAATATGGGAGAGAGACTGAGAATGTATAGGGAGAGACTTAGAGAAAATGTGGGGGGAGAGATTGAGAGAGTGTAGGGACAGACTTAGAGAAAATGTGGGGGAGAGACTGAGAGAGAGTACGTGGGAGAGACTGAGAGAGAGTAGGGACAGACTTAGAGAGAATGTGGGGGAGAGACTGAGAGAGTGTAGGGACAGACTTAGAGAAAATGTGGGGGAGAGACTGAGAGAGAGTATGTGGGAGAGACTGAGAGAGTTTAGGGAGGGACTTAGAGAAAATATGGGAGAGAGACTGAGAATGTATAGGGAGAGACTTAGAGAAAATGTGGGGGGAGAGACTGAGAGAGTGTAGGGACAGACTTAGAGAAAATGTGGGGGAGAGACTGAGAGAGAGTACATGGGAGAGACTGAGAGAGTGTAGGGAGAGACTGAGAGAGAGTAGGGACAGACTTAGAGAAAATGTGGGGGAGAGACTGAGAGAGAGTGCGTGGGAGAGACTGAGAGAGTGTAGGGAGAGGCTTAGAGAAAATGTGGGGGAGAGACTGAGAGAGAGTATGTGGGAGAGACTGAGAGAGTGTAGGGAGAGACTTAGAGAAAATGTGGGGGAGAGACTGAGAGAGTTTAGGGAGGGACTTAGAGAAAATATGGGAGAGAGGCTGAGAGAGTATAGGGAGAGACTTAGAGAAAATGTGAAGGAGAGACTGAGAAAATGTGGGGAGAGACAGAGAGAAAATGTGGAGGGCAGGCTGAAAGAGAGTGTTACGGAGAGACTGAGAAAGAGAACAGAAGAGAGACTGAGAGAAAACGTAGAGAAGAGACTGACAGAGAACAGTGTAGCAAAAAAAAGGGAAGAAACTTCTCATCGTAGATAAGGCGGATATTTCGCGAAGCTTTTTTCGCGAACGCACAGGTACATGCACAGACTAACTCAGCATCTCCTCTTAAGGGGATATTTCGGAAAATGAAAGAAACTACCGGCGTGCTGAGTCACGGTCTCTCTCCTCTTTGGACGTGGCCCACAATTACGAACCTGAGATTTCTCGCTCGCCTATTAAATATACATTCCCATTTTCCTCCTTTACCTTCTCGCGTTGCTGGCCCGCGAACGGAAGTTAAAAGGAAGACGTGAAAAGGTTCGCGAGTGGCCTGCCTGCCACGTAACGTTCGAATAAACTGCTAGTTTTAAATGCCCGGAATTACGCCGGTACTCGCGGACTTCGAATATTAACACTCTTAACATCGGCGCGAATTTACAGAAACGTTTCGTTAAACTCGCGCGACTTTTCAGCGTAAGGAGTAATACCGAACTTCTTCAGAACGAGTGCGTTCCCCCTATACTTCGTCGCCACTTTCGAGATCGTAGGTTCTCACAGATGAAAACTTTCCAGTGCCACCACGGCAGAGGAAATGTTGTTTAGCAGATGCGTATCGGTGCAAGAGATAATATCAAGTTTTCTAGAAAATTTAATAACGTCGAAGTACATTCGTGAATCTGGTTCAAATGGATTACACAATCTAACAGAAAGTTTCATTTATTCACTTTACTGCGTGTGTAAAATAGGAGAGAATATAAAATGATCGTACGTTTCCTGGTCGATCAATGCATATGTACATTTAATTTTCTGCTCGCATATACGTTCCACTCTAACTCATTTCACTTACGTTACCACCACTCGTACGTATCTCCCATCTATTTACTCGCAATGTTTTTTACCTTAGCGAGCGATTTTATTTCATCAATGATTCAACGTGTTCTGTAATCTTTGGCTAAAGAGAAATATAATTTCTTTCAAGAATTTGTCATTTTTTAGGTACACGTATTAGGTTTTATGATTAGTAGGGAGAGTTCCCCTAGCTCCGGACGCTTAAGGTTTTTCTTAAATAAATCTCTCTACCTGTGCACGCACGACTGAAACGCGTAGAAAACTTATTCTTATTCCTTTTGTCTCCTCTAGGAGATACGCAGAATAGCGGCTCGAAAGCGTTTCAATTATTGCAGATATAAGGGAACTCCCCCTACGTATTATATATAGCAGATACACCAAAATGAAGATTTAAAAAAATCATCAACGTTCTCAATAAGACTGCACATGTATTCTACTAACAAGCATTAAGATAAATAAAATACCGATACAAAAAGCATCTGTTTAAAGTTGCACCGACTCAACCCCTTGCCTGACAATAACGTGTCACATATTCGCGGTGAAAATTATGGTCAAACGTTTTATGCTCGCGAATGCAAGCGAATTTGTGCTTTGAAATTGACCAACACACAAATTACGTCTAATGTCTTAGCTTCTTGTCATTTAACACGGTATCAGAAGTGTTAAAAAGTAAAAAATGGTAAGTCAAAAGGGGTGTAATTGCAGTTCTAAAAAAATTCAACCTTTAATAGAATCCATGAAACTTCATCAACAATTTTCCACAAATTCCAAGGTCCCCAATTAATCAAACCCACCCGCAATCACGATGAAACCGTTCTCCAGACAGAAACCAGTCAGCGAACTTCCTCGCGAAGAACAAGACAATGACAGACTACTGTGCGGAGCTGAGAAGTTGGACAAGACAGATGCTTCACCGATTTGTCGATTCGTCGGTGTTATCGCGTTCATCAGCTAACGACAATAGTGAGTACACTCTCGTACGTAAGTCATGGAACACCATCTTACTGTTTTACAATAAATCAAAAAGATTTAGTTACTTATCTCGATATGAACTGTTCTATCGATAGCAATCATATTTTCATTGATATGCCCGGTGTTTTGTTATAATTAACCCTTTCGCTACGGCAAATTTTAACGCGTAACGTGGGTGACTTCACTCTACTTTACTTTTCAACTTTAAATTTGTTATTTTGGCCGTACCGCTTTAAAAGTCGGTTGGTTAAATTGAGATGGAAGTGCGTAAGGATAAAATTAAGTATTAAATTAAGACGGAAGTGCAGCAAAACGCTCCAACGATGTAGTGCGAGCAAAATTTCAAAACGTCTATAGGCGCCAACAGTAACGAAAGGGTTGATACAAAAAAAAAGAAAAATTGAAATGTTTATAATGAAGTTCAACACCAGAAATTGTGGGACGAACTAGACAGAGATATTCGGAAGCGCTGTCCAACTTCGCAAAAAGATCCGTGGACACGTTTGCAGCGGTCCTGGAGAGAAATTCGGGAAGAAACTCGAAGAAAATTATTTCGAGTCCTCGTCATCGCGAGAAAATTGAAAACTTTGTGAGTATCGTATAATTTTCAATATATTTTAACATTAGAATTCGGAAACACTGTCCAATGTGACAAAAAGATCTGTGGACATGTTTGCAGCGATCCTGAAGAGAAATTCAGGAAGAAACTTCAAAGAAACTCGAAGAAAATTATTTCGAGTCCTCGTCATCGCGAGAAAATTGAAAACTTTGTACGAATTATACAATTTTCAATATATTAGGTTGTCCGGAAAGTTCGTTTCGTAATTTAAACCATCGTATCTCTGTTTCTAATTGACATAGTAAGAAAAGTTAAACGGTACTTTCCTCGACAGTTAAAGGTGAATCCAACGCACTGCTCAAATTCTTCGTAAGATGAACAGGAATGGATATAAGTAGATACTTCCAGTGAATGGAATGTATTAGGTTGTCCGGAAAGTTCGTTTCGTAATTTAAACCATCGTATCTCTGTTTCTAATTGACATAGTAAGAAAAGCTAAACGGTACTTTCCTCGACAGTTAAAGGTGAATCCAACGCACTGCTCAAATTCTTCGTAAGATGAACAGGAATGGATATAAGTCGAACTATGTCCTCTGCACTGGAGCGAGGATGTTGAGTTTTTCGTGGCAACGCTCCACCGCAGAAAATATAGTTCGCTTTAGGAGTAATTTTAGGGGTACGTCGGATTTATCTTCAAATAACGAGTAAAATACCTTTTGGTTTTTGTCGCTATCTCAATTAGAATAGAGATAGTTCGAATTTTTTTCTTCAATTACGAAACGAACTTTCTTACTAATACTCGGACACTCTTTAGAACAGTATAACTTTTCCGAAATTGGATCAAACGACTTGAGTTTTGTTGAGAAGTTAGGATTAGTATACTAGATGACGCGTATAAAATTTTTTGAAAAAATTGCAATTTGTGGAAATAAATTCACATTCGACAACTTTTTTATCCGAGCCCGTAATGAAAATTTAAAAAATACGTTTTGTAGATTTATGCCAATTATACGCATGCTGAAAATTTGATCGAAATCGGTTAATGTTACTACGAGTTACAAATCCTTAAAGATCGTGAAAATCGCACTATTTCAATTGTAATAAATCTGAAGATTCCTACATCTTTCGATGCCTGTCGCTTGTTTCTCCATCTACCGATTTCGATGAAACTTTCAGCATGCGTACAATTGACATAAATCTACAAAACGTATGCTTTAAATTTTCGTTACAAGCTCGGGTAAAAAAGTTGTCGAATTTGACCTTTACAATTTTCTTCGCGATTCCCACAAATTGCAATATTTTCAAAAAATTTCACACATGTCATCTAGTATACCAATCCTCCTAACTCCTCAAAAGAACTCAAGCCGTTTGATCCTGTTAGAATTATGGTAATAAATTAAAAGATATTATTTTAATTATGAATCTTCTTTATTTTTTATACGCGAGGAAGGCGCGTCGCTATGCAATCAATCACACAAAACATCGGCAAGACGCAGAGAGAAAAAAAGACGTATCTGCGTCACCCATACTAAACAGATGGTTACTATGTTATTTCTATATATATATTTATATTAATCTGTCTCAGTATGTTGATTATTTTTGCCGTTATTATTACACAGACACACACTCATTTCTCCTTATAATCCAACAGATCCAATAAAAAAAAAATCGTACTGTTCTAAAGAGCGTCCGAATATCAGTAAGAGTCTGCATTTGGAAATTAAAAAACTATATTCGGTCCAAGTAATCTGGAAATAATCACGGGGTGTTTAACAGTATTAATTCCAACCCGAAACCTGAAATTAGTAGATCTCCATGACAGGTGTGCACGCGTGTGTCGAATTTCTTCGATAGCTATCAAACAGAAAACGGACCTACAGAGACGCAAACCAATCAAGACACTCGAACATCTCATCTCTGCACCGTTCATTTCGTTTCCTCTCCGTCCGGCCGAGCTCCTAATCAAGATATCGAACATTCAGCCGAGTCCCACCCAAAAATCTCCGTTTCATCGATGATTCGTGTTGCGGCCACACGTCGGGAGAGATCCGCGGCTGGGCGAGGGTGAACGGCGAGGTAGTAGCGGCCCGACAGGAAGAAGGGGGTCCACGGGAAAGAGAACGTGTGTATCCACACACGGGATCGCGTCGAAGGGACGAAAATAGTAGCGTGCCAGGATCGTATCACGCTCGCGCCCCACGGACGTGGATCTGCCTTGCTATTAATAGCGAAAAACGAAAGGGGGCGAGATCTCGAGTGCCGGTGTAGGCATCGTTCCCGAGTCTTGGTGCTGTCCAGACTCTGTTCGCAGGACTTCAGAGCCGCTCGAGCTGTCGCGGACTCCACATTCCACCGGCAAAAGCTCTTCCGTGCGTGCCTGTTGGGAAGCATCTCTTTGCTCGGCTGGTGGCCCGAGGCGAACCCTCCATACCACACGTCATACACACACTAGTCCCACCACCCACTCACACAACATTGCCACGTACACGCACACATTAACACCGTTCGAGTGTAAGTTTCATATATAGATTTTCTCTCTCAATTGTGCTCGATATTATCTTCCAGTTAATTGGTTTTGATTAAAGTGACAATGTGATAAATTCGGTTCGATTCAGTGATCGCGTGCATATACAACACCGCGTGGATTCCTTTATTCCTACATATACATGTATATATATATATATATAGTGTATCGAAAATTCTCGCCGACAAGAGAACACATTTTTCCAATCTCGTCTTCGTCGCCGTTACGTGAATCATTTCAATTACGAAGAAAAACAGAAGAGATACATGTACATATCGACGGAAGCAAAGTGTGAAAAAGTGAAACGTCTTTAAAAAAAAAAAACGATCGAATTGGATCTGTAAAAGGAAAGTACTTCACTGTGCCAGAGAGGATCGAGAATCGTCATCATCTCGAGGACGATCGCCGTTGGAGATTGCTATCCGGAGAGGGTAAACTGTTCGAAGGACTTGGTCACCTCGTGTCTGTGTAAATCATATCTCGCGATAACCAGAGAGAGAGAGAGGGTTTCGATTTACCAACGGAGAGAGATCCGTGCGTGCCGTGTCTGACCATGCTGCGACCTTATCTACTTGGAGGATACATCGTTGACCCTCCGGAGACGGCGAAGGGCTGTCTGTCGCCGTGGAAAGCGAAACTTCTGGACAGAAATTTCCGGGTTGGATGGCACCGAACAACGGACGCCCGGTGGAACTTCTCGAATCTCCGGTTCTTCGAGTTTCACCTCGCCACCTCTTCGATCGTTCTCCTTTTACACGAAACAGTGCGCTCCGCCGGCAAGACTATGTGACAGTATTTTAATCGTTGCGGAAATTTACGAGCACGAAGTTCGGGATTTCTCCCCGTTCCACCGTGACTACCGGCACGGCTTTTAGTTCGATCGTGAAGGAAGGAAGAGGGGGAGAGAAAAGGATTAAGGTTCGAGCGAAGGAAAAGGGGGAATCTGTAAGATGTCTTCTCCTCGTGAGTTTTACTCTATTATCATAAACGACGAAAGAACGATCTTGCCACTTTGTTTACCGAATTTTACCAAACTTTATTCGGATCTTTGTGTCGGCAAGTTTCGCGAAATGTTACACCCGTAACCGCAAAGGAACGAAGTTATTTCACCGTTCGTAACCGCGGCGGGTCAAAGAGCACGAATATAGAATCGCGTTGGCGCCCGTGATAACTCACCGCCTATAAATGTACGTCGAATATCCCGTTTCAAGACATTCTGATCGTGACGCGTACAATTATGTAATATTGTTTCCACTCCCACGCCGCGAAGCAAAACCCCGCGGCGCGACACTGTGTGCACCGTGGCACGTAACTTCGAACTGCCGGTTCTAAGAGGAAGGAGAGGGGGACAGAGAAGGGTAATTTGGAAAATTAACACCTCGATTATAAGGATCCCGAGTGAAACTTCCCTTCTTCGATTTCGAGATTCGGTATCGTTCGCCAAATTCGTTGGGAAAATGCGATCACGAAGGACAAGCTGATCACGTGAACAATTTCAATCGTCCAAGTAGAATACACGAAGTGAATAACGAAGAGAAGAAAAGTGTGAAAAAGAGGAGAAACTTTATCTACGAAGTAAAGAATATAAAGAATAGGATGATGTTAAGGTTGAAGCTTAATTTGTCCGCGAGGACAGGAAGGAAACGATCAGAAAGTTCGATTACGACAACAGGCGGCGAAGACGAGATCGAGGGTGGAGGCGGAGGAATTTCCATAGAGAGCGAGGGAGTTGAACGAAGGAGAAAGAAAGAAAGAAAGAAAAAGCCAATAAACGAAGAAAGAGAGAGAGAGAGAGAGAGAGAGAGAGGCAGAAAGGAGAAAGAGAGAGAGAGAGAGACAGAGTGAGAGAAGAGTAGAGAGTCTCGCTTTTCTAAAATTAGAGCGACGAGGAAGAGAAGGGGATGGCTCCTTATAGAGCTTGCGACGTCGAGCTTGCGGCCAGGGTTAGCAAACTGGCACTCTCTTTCTCGTCTCAGAATATCGGATTACCTTTGCACCAGTGCATCGTCTCGCCCCTTCGACTTCTTCCTTTCTTTTCTAGCTTTTTCTTTCTCCGTGCCGGCACAAGGTTCGATTTATGCTCGACGAGCAACCCTTCGTAACCCACCTACTACCCCAAAAGCCTTCACGTTTCTATCTTTCTCTCTCTCTCTATCACCCTCGCCCACTCACTCACTCTCCCGTTTTTCCATCCGCGCGACCTGTTTATTTGCAAAATTTCGCTGCGAGAACCAGCCATGGCGAATCCTCCACCTCCACCGTTGCGAAAAGGGACGATCGAACCGATCGCTGCAACCGCGGATTTATCAGTCACCTCCTCGGTTTCTGCGCCATCGAGATTTTCCCGGCCAACGCGAGTGTACCGACGATATTTTTTCTTCAACCGGATTTCTCCCGCATCTCCTCCACAGTGCGAACGTGCGGGAAAACGAGGGAGTTCGTTCTCGCGTGAAAATTTTTGTCGTTCGAAGAATCAAAGTTCGAAAAGTACCTATATACACACGTAGCAGACGACGATTTTGGTTGTCCTTTTTCTCCGTCGGTGTGGAAGGAATCGTGATCGATCGAATGATTCTTAAAGTAACAAAAATTGAAACGAGCATCGTGAGATACTAACGAAACAAGTCTTCGTTACGGAGGGGAGTTGTGTTAATCGGTGGATTGTTTGCGTGTTGCAGCACCGTAACCACCAGCAAACATGTCTGACGACGAGGAACAATACTCGTAAGTATTCAAAATCGGCCCAACAGATCCAGTTATCACGATATATTACATCTCGAATCTCGACATATCACCGCCGCCCGTTTCTACATTCTCGAAATTCCACGTTCCCGCGCGAAACGGTAAAATTCGAAAATTGATACCGACGCGGAAGAGGGAAGAAATAGTGGCCGGCGAACATATATCGGCTGATAAAACGACACACAGGCCGGGAAAGTTACGTAAAGCCCCGGATGCACGTGCATCGAACGTCGGTGGTGAAAAATTGGCGTGTGCAAGACATCCCCCCGATGTTGAAATATCCATGAAAATCGGGCTTTCGGAGTTCGCGCGCGATCGGGCTTGGCGGCGGTGAAATGTCGAGAATATTTCAGCCAGAGCGTAACTTTAGGTTAAGAGATAGCGATGACCACACACACCGATGTGTGTGTGTGTGTTAGAGGGCATCGAAGTGTCACGGAAAAACATGTCGTCGGATAGATATCACACGTTCAAGTCTTTTTCTCAGCGACGATTCCCAGAAGTTCAGAGAGTTCATTCTCTCGTTACGTTTCTCGATGCGACACACTCTGTCAGGCTAGCTACATAAAGTCGAGGATTAATCGAGAATAGAGCCCCCCATTCGCAGGGTTGATCGTTGTCAAACTATCGAACGATAACCAACGAAACGGTATGCGTCCACGTAAGACGAAGAAAAGAAAAAATCGTAGCTATAATCCCCCCCGTTTCGTTCATTTTAATACTTCTCTGTCGATATGCACTCCAACCCCCTACCATCGTCGTTTAATACGTTTATTAGCAATATACAGCCCAAACTCCCTGTTTTTTTGTTTGTAAAAGTAAACTACCCCTCTGTACCCACGTGTCTTTGTGCTTGAAGGAATTATCGTAATTATAATTGCACGTCACACCCCTTACAACCCCCTCTGAATCATCGAATTGCACGCTAAAAATCTATTTCACGTTTCTCTTCTTTTTCTCCTTTTTTTGGG